GGTTGAAGCGGGCTTCGGGGTAATGCTCTCGAAGATTCTGCCCATGCTGAAGGAGGGAGGGAGGGAGCGCGCAACGGAGGAAGGGGACTTGCTCGAGCTGATGCGAAAGGCGCGGGAGCTCGATGTGCGCGGGGGATGATGGGGAGGGAGGGAGAGTGGTGGGGGGAATCATTGGCCGCTGGGTGAGAGGGAGAGGCGGATGGTGTGTACAGAGGGTCGTGGATGATGAATGTGGAGGGGGGGAGGAAGGGATGGTGCTGCTCCGAGAGGACGGTTGAGAGAGAAGGTAAATGTTTTCGTCGGGAACTCGGCCAGAGAGCGGAGGGGGACGATTTCACCGAAATGACAGCAGGGAAAGGGAAGGGGAGGGCAAGCCCTAGAGAATTAGGGAAGGTGGTGGGTACTTCCGGCGCTGATGCAAGGAAACGATGGCGTTCATTCAGTAAAGTGCGCTTGGAAGCGTACAGAGAGTTGTATTCGTAGCATATCAGTACAAACTGCAGTTGTAGCATGGATAGTTTGGGCCTCAAAAGTAAATTTTAACGTAGGATCGACATAAATATGCCTTAATGACAAGGTACGATTTGGCTATGTCCCTTTTCGTCGTGCATGAATGACCAGGTATGATTTGGCTACGTCCATTGCCGCTGTCTTCGCAGTGCACGCTCGATGCCCCTCCCATCCCGCTCTTCTAATAGGTACCCAAACCACAAGAAATTCACGTCTAATTCCTGATCATTAATTTCTGCGTACAGAGACGTTTCCTTGCACTCCCGCACTTGTCTCCTTTGATGATGCGGGCTCGAAATACCCAATGTAATGCCTGAATTTTTACTATGCGTGATACTTCATAGGACGGATGTGAGAAGGAAAGATGGAATCTTTACCGAGCGTGATGATTCATAAACTTGAATCTCTATGCCTGACGCTTCCTGTCAGCATCTTCCATCTCGATACGACGGTGCCGGCTTCATCGTGGAGTCCATGGTGGTAGGAGAGGAAGATTTTCCCGCTGTGAAGGCGTTGTTTGACGGAAGGAGGGAGGGAGGGAAAGAGGGAGGACCTGCAACGGACTGTCTTCCTCCCCCGCCTCTCCCTCCCTTCCTTCTTCCCTCCGTTCGTTCTACCTCTAGAGCCTGCCATTTCTCTCGATGCTCCCGAACTTGCGCAAGATGTCCTTCCAGATCCATCACTTCCTTCTCCAGGGCCGCGTTCTGGGGAGAATGGGAAAGAAAGAAAGGAGAACGAGCAGGCACGTGAGACGCTCCTTGCCTGCCCTCCCTCCTTCCCTCCCTCGTTCGCTCCCTCCCTCCCTCGCTCGCCTTCACCTGTGCTTCTTCCTCTCTGATTTTCTCGCGAAGAACGTCCACGCTCTTCGAAAAATG